TAGTAACTGTGGGACGACCCGTGTCCATGCTCCCTCTCCATAGGATGGAAAAGGCTCGTGATAGGGGCTTCTTGCAGTTCTTGATGAACACAGAGTTCCATGAGTCTGGCCCTGGGGCAGAGTGCAAGGGCATGTCATTTATCGCCTGTTCGAAGTCATTTGGCGTCAGGATAACATCGGATAGGCTTGTGTTAATCAAATTTTGTGGCTCTCTCATAAAAAATTCGTTTTGATCTTCGACTCTCAGTCTGGTTAGCGGCTTGCTAAAAACTGAGTCATATTGGGGACTTGAGTAGCTCACTCATTTCCTTGCTGTCATCTGTGTAGGACCCATCTTGTTTAAGTAGGGGCCCAATACTGGACGTTGTTCTCGATTTTGATTTGGCATAGGAGAAGAAATACTTTGGGTTTCTTTCGATTTCATTTATGGCTTTTAGTTCTTCCCGCGATTCCTGACTCCTAAAGGATTCTTTTAGCTTAAGTTCGATGCTTGCTATTTCTCTGACCAGTGTCTCCCTACGCATTTCAGATATATTGACCTCTTTTAGCCGCTCTGTTATTCTTTTCCGTCGCCTGTAAAGGGAGCGCCTGTCTCTTTCTGTTTTACATCTACTCCTCCTTTTTCTTAGAGGATAAGCCTGTGCTACATCGAGTTGCCACCGAGTTAATCTGTTCTAGGCATAAGTTGGGGTCTGTGTTGCTTAGTATATCTTCCCAGCTTATATCGGTTAGGACTTGGTTTACTTGGTCCCACTTTATGTTTCTGTTATTGAAGTTGAATTTGGTGAATGCTCCCTCGTGACTAATCTCATTATGTCGGTCTGGGGCTCCGCGCATACATGACTGAACCTCAATTATGTTGTGATCTGAGTATATAGTTTTTGATATGGTGACATTTCTTATCAGTCTAGTGTATTCTCCAGTCTAGTAGGCTCTATTATTTGCTGGTTTAAATTGAATTTTGTGCAGAGATTTAAAAGCTCGTGTGAGTGTGAGTTTTCATCAGAGCTGCCTCCTGGTGTTATTACTGCAACAATATTATTTGCTATATTCCTCCATTTTAGGTGCCTTAAGTTGAAATCCCCCAAGAGCAAGATGTTGGGTGCAGGAGCTGGAAGATTTTCCAGACAGTGGTCAATTTTTAACAGCTGTTCCTGGAATTGCTGGGATGTTGCATCCGGAGGCTTGTAGACTACCACAATGACTAGGTTTTGGTTCTCGACCTTTACTGCTAAAACTTCCACTACATCATTTGAGGCATTAAGCAGTTCTGTGCAAACAAGGTGACTCTGCATGTACAGGCCAACCTTCCCCCTTTTGCTGTTCACTCTGTCACATTGTATAGGTTGTAACCTGTGATCATATTTCGTTGTCCATGTGATCCTTCACGTGGGTCTCAAGTGAAAGCCGTCGAACATTGCTTTGCCTCTGCAAGCAGTCCATGGATGAAAGGTATTTTGTCGTTTGTTGCTGGCTTTAGACCCTGTATATTTGCAAAGAAGAATGTCATCGGACTTGTGGTATTGTTGGTACTGGGGGGGGATTTTTTTTCCGGCATTAGTATCTGTATCTGTTGGTTTGGAGTGGAGGCCATCGACTGTGGTTCCACTCAGGAATGACTGGATTTGGTGTACGATTTCTGCCATTTCCTGCCAGTTTTTTTTCCTTCCTGGCACTAAAAAACCTCTCCCTCGTGATGTATATTGTGTAGTGTTGTGTTGTGATGTATATTGTGTAGTGTTGTGATGTATACTGTGTAGTGTTGTGATGTATATTGTGTAGTGTTGTGATGTATATTGTGTAGTGTTGTGATGTATATTGTGTAGTGTTGTGATGTATATTGTGTTGTGTTGTGATGTATTTTTGTGTAGTGTTGTTATGCAGGGTTCTGCATGACATTGTAATGTATATACAGTAGAGAAGGGTGTCATAATAGTATGAATGCTATAATTGTAAAACATAATTTTATAATTCATACTGTACATTTGGGGGTACTGTAAAGTAGGTGAAACTGGAATTATAAAGAAATCCTGTCAGGGACTTAAAAGTGGGATACCTGGGGCCTAGAGCCTTGTGTAAGGGCAAATGTAAAAGTTACACACATCAGGCATAAACAGGCCACACAGGGCTAACCCAGTCAAAACAGAAAGTGCTAAACCTGTATTTGTTACTTCAATGGGTTGGTTAACAGGTTAGGCAAAAATCCTAGTTAGGAAAATATATCTATTTATTCATCATAACACTGTATACACACTCTAGAGAACACCTTCATGTATCTCCTATCCTAAACGCCCAAATAGCGGACACAAGCAGCAGGCGGCTGGTGGTCCAGCAACCATAACACTGGGCCTAGTCAACGTCAGGTCGTCACTACTCCAATACCAACCCCATTTCTTATTTCCTCACTCATCCCACAACACCCTGGCCATGTCAGAGCCTAGGTGAACCATAGAAGAGCCTATGGCTTGAGTTAGCTAAACAAAAGGTGTACACCACTACAAAACTTAGCTTAAATGCACAGCGTCTTCTTTCTTTCTTTTCTTTGATGGGTTTATCAGGGCCACTGACAGCATACGCTGTATCGAGCCCGACTTCTCGATGGGACAAGAAAAAATTGTTGCCCAAGGCTGGGCGATGAGAGAAAAGGAACAAAAGTTCCTTTGTAAATAGAAATAGAAACTTGAAGTTTCCAATTAGATCCGGTAGACTCCCTTGCCAAGCCCCAGCACAGAGGGACGCCCACACTCCCACCTGAGTTCAGTAACCGGCTTCCCACCAAAGACCGTTAAAGAATTTTCAGCAGAGCGGAAAAAAATGGAGATGGCTAAAGTAAGCCGATGAACAGGTGCCCCTCCTGTAGAGTGCCCGGCGGAAAAAGTAGATGAGGACATGCGTCCCAGAGAGAACGGTGGAAATTTGTCACCGATACTCAGGCGAGAGGGAGACGTCCACACCCGACGAAGGCTGACGCAGAAGTCCTCCATATCATGCTGACCACGCCTGACCCCCAAGCCATGCTTATCAGTGTATAAAAACACAGTTGGAAAATAAATCCCTGATAGGATTTCTTTATTTCATGATCGTAGGACTGGGAAATGTTATCTAAAGTAACGGTGCAGTACTCTTCAAGACAGAGGTGATGCACGATTAGTGAATGGAGGATCGAGCCTCAACCACTCCTTAATGACCCAGACGGTTTTACCGCTTCACAAAATCAGATGCTTATAGTCCCTCAATTTTCATACACAGTCATCAGCGCAATTATTTCCTAAAAAACACTTCCTCGCTCACTCTCGATAAGATAAAACCAAGCTCTTGACATCCTTAAAAGTAACTTTTGAGTCGGGTAAGTAAGTAAGTAAGTAAGTTTATTCAGGTATACACAAATACAGTTACATAGAATTATCATACATAGCAGCATATGTGTAGAGAACCTAGGATAACCCAAAAAAGTCAGACAGAGTGACAATAAGGGTACAATAAAATTTTCATGGAATTGTATAAATCGTCGTCGCCACCTAGACTGTTATATTTGAGCATGTAGGTTAGGTTCGTCAGGAAACAGGACAAGTGTTTCCTGATGTGGGTCCTTAGTCATATGGTGACCCCACAGCTGGAGCTTATGGTCATTTGACAGAGGCCTTCAGCTGGCTTACCCTTCTACCCCTTCAAAAATTATGGCCATGGTGAGAATGTAGATCATGTGACTGGATATTTCGTCACTGCAAAAAACTTTAACCTCGACGGCTTTTTGTTTTTATATGTGTTGATGCATTAAATCAGAGGCGACAGCATTTACCAGGTGGACTATATAAAGAAATGGAGGTAAGAAGTATGTGGTACATATACCTGCTGAAATTGTAGAAGCAGCAGCACTTCTAGACATTAAAATACATAAAAAAAACGCCAGATAAAATAGGATATGTATTTAATTAGCAGGAAATTTGCTGTTCCAGTGAAGGTGAGTTGATATGTGAACCATCAGGTGTATCATGTACGAGATAAAGCAATGTTAGGTAAGGTTTTCTTGGAATACAGTGAAATGGAAGCTAAACGCCAGCCCTGGCCTTCAAGTTACGTCAAGCAGAACCAGCCTGACTAGTTTTATAATAATAATAATAATAATAATAATAATAATAATAATAATAATAATTACCTGGAGTTTACCTGGAGAGATATACGGGGTCAAACGCCCCGGCCGTCTAGACGGCCTCCTGGTGGATCAGAGCCTAGATCAACCAGGCTGTTGCTGTGCTGCATCGCAAACATACATACGAGGAATAGCCCGCTGATCCGGCAATGACTTTAGGTGCTGTCAGTGCCAAGCATTGAGACTGCCAGGGTTTCTGTTGGTATCCCACCTTATGTGTGCGGAGGCGTGAACAGTCTCGGCCCTGCATTATTGTATGGTCATACTTAACGTGTAGTGACACCCCATGCTTTCATTTCGGGTGGATGCAATCGTCTGCACATGTCTTTAAACTTTCGTAGTGGGTGATTATTCATGTGCATGTTCGGTACTAGTCCCTTCTAGGTTTTCCAGGTGTTATATAATTCATGTATCTTCCCTCCTGCGTTCCAGAGATCAGGTTTAGGAATCAAGCGCTCCCAATATTGAGGTTTTTATCTCCTTATGCGCGCCGTGAAAGTTCTGTACATTTTCTAGGTCGGCAATTTCACCTGCCTTGAAAGGTGCTGTTAGTGTGCAGCAATATTCCAGCCTAGATAGAACAAGTGACCTGAAGAGTGTCATCATGGGCTTGGCCTCCCTAGTTTTGAAGGTTCTCATTATCCATCCTGTCATTTTTCTAGCAGATGCTAGCAAAAATAGAATATTTGCTTGAAATGTGTGGTATATTGTTTTTATTAATAAGGTACTAAGACATATCATGTAAGCTATTATATTTGTGTCTATTTTCCTCAATAAGATGAAAATCAAGTACATAGTTAAACAAGCGATACTTAACTCATGAACAAAAATATAAACTGCCTCAACTTACATAGTCGGAGCCCATGCTGATCAGCTAATGTACTGAAACAATGGCTAAGCTGATGTAGTGTGTAGGAAGTGTCCTCAGAGGCTAGATGTTTCAAGGAAGGATGCTTCCTGCGACGCCTGAGTGCCGTCTGAAGACCCCCAAGATAAGCTCCTGGGAACCTGGGTGCTGTCTTCTGAACGACGTAGGTAAAACTCTCAGCAAACCTGATACATCCCCTCGCTGGCTATCTGATGCATATCACTGGCACCATTGCTGGTTATCAAAAATAACACTGTGAATGTAAGCTTGGGGACTGAGCATTGTGCCTGCGCCACAAAATTAAATTATTTTATTGATTTGTTTATATAATATCAGTACTGTGATATAAATTATGAAGGAGGGTCGGCGTGGGATTTATGGGGTAAATAGATCGAGCTCAGTGCGAACAAAAACTTTGTCGAAAAATTCACAAATTAAGTTAATCATATAGAAAAATAGCTTAACTCTCTGGCAACATAATGGTACAAGAATCATTGTTCTACGACATTCCTACAAGGAATTATGGTCATTTAAAACACCTAGGGTGACGTCACCACCCGCGGCAGGTCTGCTCACCTGTCGTCAATTTAAATTTTTTTCCCCGATTTTTTTTTCCTGTATTTATTGTATTATTCTTTCTAAGATAATAATTGACGATTTGGCATCATAATACAGTGGGTGGGACTTCTTCTTCTTATGACCAGAGCTTTGGTAAGATGGGTAAGGAAGGATAGGTAAGGATAGAAATATTGGAAAAGGGTGGGAGGGGGGATTATTATTATTATTATAATCAAGGGGAAGCGCTAAACCCGGAGGATTATACAGCGCCTGGGGGGGGATGTGGAAGGCATTCAGGCTTAATTCGGGGAACTGGAGCACAGATCCAATTTCCTAAATCAAGAGCCCCTCACCAACATCAAGGAACCTTCCTTGAGGGGGTGGGAGGGGGGAGAGTTTACCTGGAGAGAGTTCCGGGGGTCAACGCCCCCGCGGCCCGGTCTGTGACCAGGCCTCCTGGTGGATCAGAGCCTGATCAACCAGGCTGTTGCTGCTGGCTGCACGCAAACCAACGTACGAGCCACAGCCTGGCTGATCAGGAACTGACTTTAGGTGCTTGTCCAGTGCCAGCTTGAAGACTGCCAGGGGTCTGTTGGTAATCCCCCTTATGTGTGCTGGGAGGCAGTTGAACAGTCTCGGGCCCCTGACACTTACTGTATGGTCTCTTAACGTGCTAGTGACACCCCTGCTTTTCATTGGGGGGATGGTGCCAAGTCTTTTGCTTTCGTAGTGAGTTTATTTTCGGGGCAAGTTCGGTACTAGTCCCTCTAGGATTTTCAGGTGTATATAATCATGATCTCTCCCTCCTGCGTTCCAGGGAATACAGGTTTAGGAACCTCAAGCGCTCCCCGTAACTGAGGTGTTTTATCTCCGTTATGCGCGCCGTGAAAGTTCTCTGTACTTTTCTAGGTCGGCAATTTCACCTGCCTTGAAAGGTGTGTTAGTGTGCAGCAATATTCCAGCCTAGATAGAACAAGTGAACCCGAAGAGTGTCATCATGGGCTTGGCCTCCCTAGTTTTGAAGGTTTTTCATTATCCATCCTGTCATTTTTCTAGCAATGTGATTGATACAATGTTATGGTCCTTGAAGGTGAGATCCTCCGACATGATCACTCCCAGGTCTTTGACGTTGGTGTTTCGCTCTATTTTGTGGCCAGAATTTGTTTTGTACTCTGATGAAGATTTAATTTCCTCATGTTTACCATATCTGAGTAATTGAAATTTCTCATCGTTGAACTTCAATTGTTTTCTGCAGCCACACTGAAAGATTTGGTTGATGTCCGCCTGGAGCCTTGCAGTGTCTGCAATGGAAGACACTGTCATGCAGATTCGGGTGTCATCTGCAAAGGAAGACACGGTGCTGTGGCTGACATCCTTGTCTATGTCGGATATGAGGATGAGGAACAAGATGGGAGCGAGTACTGTGCCTTGTGGAACAGAGCTTTTCACCGTAGCTGCCTCGGACTTTACTCTATTGACGACTACTCTCTGTGTTCTGTTAGTGATGAAATTATAGATCCATCGACAGACTTTTCCTGTTATTCCTTTAGCACGCATTTTGTGCGCTATTACGCCATGGTCACACTTGTCGAAGGCTTTTGCAAAGTCTGTATATATTACATCTGCATTCTTTTTGTCTTCTAGTGCATTTAGGACCTTGTCGTAGTGATCCAATAGTTGAGACAGACAGGAGCGACCTGTTCTAAACCCATGTTGCCCTGGGTTGTGTAACTGATGGGTTTCTAGATGGGTGGTGATCTTGCTTCTTAGGACCCTTTCAAAGATTTTTATGATATGGGATGTTAGTGCTATTGGTCTGTAGTTCTTTGCTGTTGCTTTACTGCCCCCTTTGTGGAGTGGGGCTATGTCTGTTGTTTTTAGTAACTGTGGGACGACCCCGTGTCTATGCTCCCTCTCCATAGGATGGAAAAGGCTCGTGATAGGGGCTTCTTGCAGTTCTTGATGAACACAGAGTTCCATGAGTCTGGCCCTGGGGCAGAGTGCATGGGCATGTCATTTATCGCCTGTTCGAAGTCATTTGGCGTCAGGATAACATCGGATAGGCTTGTGTTAATCAAATTTTGTGGCTCTCTCATAAAAAATTCATTTTGATCTTCGACTCTCAGTCTGGTTAGCGGCTTGCTAAAAACTGAGTCATATTGGGACTTGAGTAGCTCACTCATTTCCTTGCTGTCATCTGTGTAGGACCCATCTTGTTTAAGTAGGGGCCCAATACTGGACGTTGTTCTCGATTTTGATTTGGCATAGGAGAAGAAATACTTTGGGTTTCTTTCGATTTCATTTATGGCTTTTAGTTCTTTCCGCGATTCCTGACTCCTAAAGGATTCTTTTAACTTAAGTTCGATGCTTGCTATTTCTCTGACCAGTGTCTCCCTACGCATTTCAGATATATTGACCTCTTTTAGCCGCTCTGTTATTCTTTTCCGTCGCCTGTAAAGGGAGCGCCTGTCACTTTCTATTTTACATCTACTCCTCCTTTTTCTTAGAGGAATAAGCCTTGTGCATACATCGAGTGCCACCGAGTTAATCTGTTCTAGGCATAAGTTGGGGTCTGTGTTGCTTAGTATATCTTCCTAGCTTATATCGGTTAGGACTTGGTTTACTTGGTCCCACTTTATGTTTTTGTTATTGAAGTTGAATTTGGTGAATGCTCCCTCCTGACTAGTCTCATTATGTCGGTCTGGGGCTCCACGCATACATGTCTGAACCTCAATTATGTTGTGATCTGAGTATATTGTTTTTGATATGGTGACATTTCTTATCAGATCATCATTGTTAGTGAAGATGAGGTCTAGTGTATTCTCCAGTCTAGTAGGCTCTATTATTTGCTGGTTTAAATTGAATTTTGTGCAGAGATTTAAAAGCTCGTGTGAGTGTGAGTTTTCATCAGAGCTGCCTCCTGGTGTTATTACTGCAACAATATTATTTGCTATATTCCTCCATTTTAGGTGCCTTAAGTTGAAATCCCCCAGGAGCAAGATGTTGGGTGCAGGAGCTGGAAGATTTTCCAGACAGTGGTCAATTTTTAACAGCTGTTCCTGGAATTGCTGGGATGTTGCATCCGGAGGCTTGTAGACTACCACAATGACTAGGTTTTGGTTCTCGACCTTTACTGCTAAAACTTCCACTACATCATTTGAGGCATTAAGCAGTTCTGTGCAAACAAGTGACTCTGCAATGTACAGGCCAACCCCCCCCCCTTTTGCCTGTTCACTCTGTCACATCTGTATAGGTTGTAACCTGGGATCCATATTTCGTTGTCCAAGTGATCCTTTATGTGGGTCTCAGTGAAAGCCGCGAACATTGCCTTTGCCTCTGCAAGCAGTCCACGGATGAAAGGTATTTTGTTGTTTGTTGCTGGCTTTAGACCCTGTATATTTGCAAAGAAGAATGTTATCGGACTGGTGGTATTGTTGGTACTGGGGGGGGATTTTTTTTCCGGCATTAGTATCTGTATCTGTTGGTTTGGAGTGGAGGCCATCGACTGCGGTTCCACTCCAGGAATGACTGGATTTGGTGTACGATTTCTGCCATTTCCTGCCAGTTTTTTTTCCTTCCTGGCACTAAAAAACCTCTCCCTCTTGAGTGGCTGTGGCTACCCAGGTTTTCCCATGGCCTGGATGTTTTGTATCTTTTTGTCCCCTTTAGATGGTATGCCTGGCAATTTAAGTTATAGCACAGTCTTTCCTGTACTGAATAGGTACACGGTTCAGGGTGAAAAAGCTTACAGGAAGGGAGTTTGCATTTTCCTGTTGTCATATGGGCATGGCATTTTCTAGGGTGGTCATAGTTGCACGTCCCATCTGTTTTTCCAGATTTCCCATGCCAGCAGATACCAAGTGCATAGTATGTGCACAGGCTTGGTTTCCGTTTGCCTTGGGTTTCTGTGACTGTATTTCCTGTTGGTGCATGTTTCCCTGCCTTACTTCTATCCACCCTAGCACCAACAATGGAGCTCCCACCAGATAGGATATAAAAGATAAATGGCCCAACCACTTTGGTGTGAGACGGGTCATCGCAAGACTGAGACCCGTGCCAGGACTACGGTCTTGGCGAACATTATACATACATACCACTTTGGTGTAATTTAAAAGGTGTATGTGAAATAATAAGATATTCTTGAAGGGGTTTAATATTAACCCATCAGAGTCACATAGATATAACAGATATATAAGTACATGACTCTGAATTGGTAGTAAATATACAAGTTCCAATTGCCTTTTTTTGCGATTACACAACGGATATTTAAGCGACAATGAAGGCAATAATTTTGCTGACGTCATGGAAAATTCCAGTCTCGGGATGACCGGGGAATATGCTTCAATATAACGCTATTATAGCTTCTACGGCTTATTTATCTATCACAATGGATCTAATATGACATAATAAACAATATAAATAACAAAGAAATATGGTAAATACTCCAGAATGAATAATATAATTGTTTTACAAAACGATGTTTATCTTTTTGAGATATCATAATTTGTTTTTGATTTTTGTGAGGGCAAAAGTCAGATATTTGGCTGAATGTCAAAACCATACAAACTTTATTTTTTTTAAGAATGAAGAAAGGATAAATTACAGTAAAGCTAAACATGATAAATAGTGTTTAGCATTGTTTTATGCGTAGATAATGCCAAAACAGCTTCTCCATGTCCCACATCGACGGTACCTTGCAATATGATTATTAGTAAATAATTTTTTTCTCAGTTGTTTTTTGA